CGGTTCGACGAAAAGCAATAGATGCGTATCGATTTCGCTGGCTCCGCCCTAGAGAAAAACGCCAGGGCGGTCGAGCTAGCGTTTTTCGACCAACCGCTCCGCCGAACCGCCCGTCGATACGTATCAAAACCGTTTCGCGCAACCGCCAGACTCTTCGCCGAACCGCCAATCGATACGTATCGAAAGCTTTTCGCGAAAACGTTTCTTTCGAGAAAAACGTAGGTGGCAGACTCGAGCAATGAGTAAAGCTATTCCTCAGCGGCAAAACGCTAGCGTTTTGAGGGAAAAGGTCTCTCTTGCTGAAATATGTGCCTGAGTGAAACGGTCGAACGAACCGGTGCTCTAAGCGAGTCGGCGTTTTCGACGCTGATTGGTACCTACACTATGATTTTGGCTTTGGCTTCTTCCGGAACAATAGACCTATACGCACTTTCATTCATTTTCGCTCAAAGCGCCGAATCGCAAAGGACGAACGCAGCCTGTCGTTCCAGATGGTGGATCACTCCGGTATTGGACTGCAGCAAGAAAAAACCCTCATAAACCGTTTCGCATCGGATTGATTTCAACTCCGATGTACATCAAGCAAAAATAACGTTGATTTAATCAAGAAATGTTATATATGCCTCACTGACTTCAGAATTATAAGCTGAAACGGTAAAGAGAAGAAAACAGGCCTTTCTGCGATTTCTCTAGCATGTCTCTCACGTGCCTCTCGTTCCTCAACCTTCCTTTTGCATGCAGCGTACTCGTTAGGGACCGCTGGCTGATACTCATTCTTCGCAATGTATTCACCAAATAAATTAACCTGAACTCACGAGCTTTTCTATAACTCAGTAACATGTTTTCACAGCAAACAACAGAACACTCTGATCTTCTATAAATTTGTAACCTACACTGTCATCGACTGCTCCTTTAGGTAGGAATGACGGAGGAGCGCAGTCCGTTATTGGTAGAGCACGTACGGGCTGGATTCGACGCAAGTTGATGGGAGTTCTATTGCGGGCTGACAAGTCCACAACTGGTGCTACACTTGTTCTTTGCTACAGTTTCACAATTAGTTTCCATAATTAGTCCGAATGAAAGTTGTGACTTCTTGTCAACTTATTACCATGCCTTGCTGTATTTGAACCCTCTTCTGGGCTATCTGTGCTTGTAGAAATTTCATAGTAATATCAGCAGAACCTAAAAGAATTTGTTCAATTTGGCGTGGTGGTACCTCAGCTTTGGCAGAGTGCAGTAACTTTGTTGATTCAAGAAACTAGCCATTAATTCACCTGCTTTACTTATCTGAAAATGGGTGAATGACGGAGTACTAGGTTTACAATAATTCTCAAAACGTTACTTTCCACCAATCATAACGGGCTAATTCCCAGACTTCTAAAGATTTTCTACTCGTCCAGTGTTTACCCATGCTCTAGTGTAACGCATATCTGGCTACTGGTAAGCAGAAACCATAGTTCACCCTGCCCCTCCCAGATGTTTCATCCAAATAATTAACCCGTTCCAATGACCTAATCGTCTTTAAAAACAACCCAAGAACGAGCAAAGTAGGGAATGGAGTTATCCTCAGGTTGGAAAAGCTGTGCTCATCACATCAGTCTGAACATGCAAAAGGAAGGGTTGAGATTTCGAGCTAATAAGGAACTCACCTTTCGCTTGAGGAGGCGAGTCATCGTCGTCGTATAGCGGCATCTCTTAAATTTACACCGATAAACGAATCTAAATAATATTGAGATAAATAAGAAGTGCACAAACACAAAATGTTTTTCACAGTGAGATAAACCGTGATTCAATGAACGCATAAAGTATGAATGTTATAATTATTTTGTTGAAACCTCTTTTGGTACCTTCTCTGTATTTCCTTAACAAATGAGATAGGTTAAATGAGGACAACGGAATAGTAGAGCAACACGGACAGAGTTTTCACAAGTTCTAAAAGTCCTTCAACTTGTTTGAAGAAATCTTAAAACATGCGCACATTACTGGATGAGTGCTAAAGAAGCAAAGTTCCGCACACTCTAAGGGAATCCTTACGAAAAAAAGCATTCTCGCCGTGTGCTGCCTCTAGAAGAAAAAGAAGAAGAGAGTGACAAAAGATTCATGCATGAAGGAATGCAGAAACATAGCGACAGAAAGCTGAGACCCTCAGTCTCAAAAAGTGATTTTCAGGCGTAATTTATCTGGTACGATTGCGGGCTGCAGACTGCACAGCACAAACGGCGAACTGAAGGAGGCAGGGTGCAGCATGTGGACGGGCGGAATGGAGGTGCCAGAACAGACTTCGAAGTTACCTCACGAATCTCTTAGCCTACCTACCAATTGACCGAATTTTTCCGACTTCCTTCCGTTGTTCTGCGAAAAGGCTGGCCTCGAGTGGTGTTACATGGTTATATAGCGCGCATGATGGACTTGAAAACTGGTATTTTTCCTTGCATGAAGCGCTAAGACAGCGTTCAGACTTCGCGACGGCGCGCTTCAGCCGCGAAGTCCTAACGCTGCCTAGTCTGAACGCCGCGGTCGATTAGGGCGTGCCACCCTCCACACGCGGAAAAGTGTCACAATAATGAAAGAGGAGGGGTTGAATTTCTCTCATTTTGTGTTGGCGATGTTCGCTGCGCCCAAAGGTACGACACCATCATGAAGCCATGGCAGCTTCGCCGGGTTACCTGGATGGCAGGAGCGCAAAGCATAAACCTTGAAGGATCACTCCGCGGTTAATTAAGGCTGTAACGACCGCGTTTCTGTGAACATGTAAAGGCTGTAACTGTTCATTCAAAACATGAAGAATTTTATAGGAATATCAGAATATGGAGATCTGAAATTGGTTAAAGTTGAAGCTCTGGAGCACCGCTATAGGGCGCTACACTCCCCAACAGCGACGTAACTTACGCATTTACTTAATACTCTTTCTACTTCAAGTGGGACATGTGGACAGACGGATCGGCAACAAGTGTGACGTGTCAAGATGTAGAAACGCGTGCTGGTAAGAGAGAGGGAGACTTATTTCTTCTTTGATAACAACAGGTGTGGAGTTCTACAAACGCGCCTTCTCTTCACTGTGTGCACGTACACTCCTTATCCCTGAGCCAGAGTAGGCGTGGCATGAACATGGCGCGGAGTTGGTTACTCGAGGAATATTTACAGTCTGGCTATTACCGATTTTTTTTTTAATAGCCGTTTTTTTTAGCGGACAACTGTGCCATCTCTGTTCTGTGACTTTGGACGACGGCCAGGATACAATTGTGTCAGATGAAATGTCTCACCACAAGCATAGACCTTCAGGTTAAGCTTAAAGCATGCACCAAACCTATCCATCTCAGGAGTTTTCGAGTATACAAGTTGCATGCGGCGAGGACTCGTCACATAAGGAGCATTCTGGACGATTTTCTGCTTTTCTTCCCTACGTTAAACTTAGTACTTGCCGTTTTTACCGTAGTGGAAGAACCTCCATTACCACTATTTGTATTGCAGCTTTGCCCTTACTGCCTTATGTTTTGGCAGCTCATTGGTGTTCAGAACGAGCCTCGCCGCTCACCCTGCTTTTTATTCCGCAGTTCCTCGTTCAGGCCGACACTACCTATAAGGGAAACAGTTGTTACTCGTTTTGTTTGTAAGTCCACAGCGGCCGCGGTCGGAACGCAGACGTGTAGGCTGGTGTTCATACTTTGCGCAGCGTCCACCAGTGCAGTGTCCAGGTTAGCAATAGTGGTAGAGTGTGGGGAGGTAGGAGGGTAGCAGACTGCCAGTGGAGAGGGACGAAATGCGGCGTAGCAGACAGTGGGTAACTAACTATCGCCCATGCCTGTTCTATCAGAGGTCTGCTGTGTACTGCCGTGGACGGTGGAAGCGCTGCGCTCTGGTCGCAAACTCGATATCCTATTCTTTAGGCCTCGAGGACGCTGTTGCTCTGCCTGATGGACGCGCTGGAAAGTATGGCAACGCTGATAAGAAGGGCACGAGAGGTCGCGCCTAACGATCGCCTCCCAACCCAAAAGGTCGATCTCGCCAGTTACAGTGAGATGTACAGCAGTGTACGCGCCATGAGACGAGGAGCTCGAATAGGTCTATGGAATCTGCAGAACGTTTTTTTGAATGGTACTACAAAGATTTTGTTTCTTGTACTGTCCGTATACTATCGCCTAGAGGCACCCTTATTAATAGGGTGATGTGGACATCGGTCATGCTAACAGGTAGAGGGTGCGTTTTGTAAGCAGGACGTCCTGAGATCGGGTCCTTGCTGGGGCTTTTTTGCTTCTTGCAGGCTGTGCGCTTGAAAGGTGCCGACTGCTGCGGAGAGCTTCTGCGTCAGGCAAACAGACACCTTTGGCGAAAAAGTTGCGAGTCGGGTTCTCCGAAATTCCGACCTAATTTGCGAATGTGGTGGGCATAAGTGAGATGACAGTAAGTAGCGTGCCGCAGCCGTCAATAGAGCTAGTCTATCTATATGGACTTGGTCCTCGTAGCCCGATACCTGTTGTGAGCACTGTTTTGCTGGGAAGGTCACCGGTCTACGTGGTTCCTGCCATCCCTAGGGTTTTCCGTCATTTTTGCAATTCCATTGACAGTGCTCTCACCGCTCTACTATCTAGTACCAGTATCACTTTAGCGAAGATTCGTTGACCTCAATAGGTTGATGCTCTTGACGGGAAACCAACGGACTGCTCCTTTGATAACACTTGTAGTTTGACACAAGCGCTCATCCCACCTAAAGGACGATCATCAGTGTAGACAGGCTACAGCCACTCACTATGCTGCCATATTTAAAAGACACCCTGCGCTCAAAGGATTGCACGTCATCCTTCCTTGTGCATGTAGTACAGCCCTAGCCAGAACAGTATTACACTACTCCGGGCGAACTGGCACAACCAGAAAGCGAGGAGGCAAGCTACGACCGCTGATAAGTTTAGTTCTCACGCACTGCTCGTTGCGACCGCTTCACTTGACCTGAGAAATGCTCCAGACGGAGGGCCGACCTACAGTATGTCTTTGTGGGGCGGCAGAGGGAACACTAATTTAAAGAGATAATCAGAGATCTAAATTCACACTGACCACGCCCAAAGCCCATAAATAATTTCTGCTTTCCTTTTTTCAATTTTTTCATCATTACAAAGCAAATACAGTAACTTATTCCCAGCTCGCAGGTAACAAACGGCGTAGAAGAATCACAGGCGAACCCATATTCGTGTGCAAATCTCGACAGCCTCACAACCCAAAGAAGATGCAAGAATCACCCGTATTCCTTATTCCGAATTTTCAAAAGTTATTTTCCTAATTTCACAAGACTTTTTCTACCGATGTTTTTTGTTGTTTTCCTCATCCTTTTTTTTGCCATTTTGAGATGAACATATCATTAACTGTGGAGAAATGACGGAAAGGATTATAGTGAGACCTGAGGGTGCCAAATGACCGCAAAGGCCTATGTGACTGACAGCCGGGGGCGAGATCTCGTTATGGATTTCATCTGGAAAACTGCTTCTGCATATTTGCTCTTCTTATTGGAGAACTACTTGATCAGCTTACTGTTCCGTAAATTGAAAGCCAAAAACCATAATCATGCAATTTATATCGCTGGGAAGACCTTGTCTATTAACTTATGCCAACCAGTATTGTACAGAAGAAAACGAGTTTCTCAGATATACAGGCTAAAGTAATCGGCATTACTAGCAAGAAAGGGAGATAATCGACTCCAACTGAAAACGCTAATTTAGCAAACTAAAGTTGACGTAAACGAAACATTGTGGAGTGCGACCTGTGCCGTTAACGACGCCGCCACACTATCCTGTCAAGCCAACAGTCACTTTTAGCAGTGATTCGATAAACAATCGCTCATGTTAGGTATCATAATGATGCAGAAGAACGATATAGGGCTGCATAATGAGTAAACGATGCTTTTGCGGGCGACTCAGTACTACTTCTCGCCGTAGCTACCGGAGCAATTTTTCCTTAACTCACTTGAGGAATCGGTTACTTGTATGCTCAACGAGGCAGATCATCAATTGGCGTTTCGGGCGGAATTTTGGTGGAACCGATACGAACCCGTTTTGTAGGGGGATTTAGAGCGACACCTCTAACTACAAATAAACTAGTGAAGTTTCATTAACCAAACAAAAACAGCCCCCTGAGAAGGCAAAGAGAACTATCACTAAAAGTTAATACTGTATAAGTAGCGGCGGAAAAAACAATAAATAACAATCACGCTGAAACGCCGCCCGCTCCTTTGCCATTTTCTTATCCTGCAAATGAATTCAAAAAAAATAAAAATGAAATCGCGCAAGAGCCATTAAGATATAATATCACATGATATACTCGAGTCAAAACAAATCCTACAAAAAAGGTAACCTCGAAAATCAGTTCAATATAAGAAAAAAAAAAAACAGAAGATAAGCCACCTTCTCCCTAAAGCACAGTTCTGAGCGGTCCACGCAATTTGCTGGGCCGCGCTCTGACGCGTTAGCAGTCCTAGTCGAGAACAGGTATCTTTCTCCTGTGTGCATTCTGCGCTAGGCAGACCTGGGGGCCTTCAACCGATATTGTAAGAATAAGGTCGAGATTCGGCCATAGTGCTCCCCTCTAAATCGATTTGAGACCAGAGTCTATCACCTCCTTAAGTGAGTCTTCCTGCCCTAACATGCCAGACAGAGTTGAGCTCTACTCCCGCACGATGAACATGTGGTCTGCGTTATTCATCACTCCATGGAAAGAGTGGTGAATGGAGTTCCTTCAGTGCAAGCAAGTGAAGGGGAACCCCAAGTTTCGCACTCCACAGACGCGTAGTGGGAGATTTTTACTCAAGACGACTCAACGCAAATTCCTCCTCGGTAGAACGATTCTTCCGATCAACCATCAGAACTAGGGTAGCCGTTTCGCTCGGCTGCCAACTAGAGGGGGCACATGACGCGCGTCAGAATGGGGATATCAACAATCAGAAAATTTTTTCTGTTTATTTTTAATTTTTTCGGCCTTCCCTTCGAGGATCAAATGTGACCCAGTTGTATTTACACAAGTTTTACACAACCAAGATGTGTTCTATCAGAGACACAACCATAACTGCCGAAGTTTCGGGAAACAGGCGGGCCGGGCATGTCATGCTATCAGACAGAGACAACTGGATCAGAGCGATAACTGACTGTATTCGCGGGATGTCAGATGAGCTTCAGAACGATCGCTAAGGCTGCGTTCATACATTGCGGTACGTCCACCAGCGTCTCCAGCGTCCACCAACGACCAGCGCCTTCACCAGCGAACGGGAGTAGAGAGTATGGGGAAGTGGGAGGGACCCATGTCTCACTCAGATGTCCTATCGTTTTCGGGGATCTTGACTATACAGGCAGGATGGCAAATGACTCAGGGCAACAGGTCAGCCTGATCAAGAAAGGGTATCAACAGTGAAACATCTCAGAAATGGTGCCAAAGATGTAAAGAAGGCAAGCCAGTTGAAAGATCAGCACAGGATGGTACTATTGAGAACAAGCAAAAGGGTATTTCGCCGTTAATCAATCCCTTTGGGATGCGGCACGCATTCTACTTCCATTCAGAATCGTAGTGGCTTATTGAATGCGATGTGGCCTATACAATGACTTGCGGGGGCCAGCCGATGTACAAGTCACCCATTTATCCTCTCGCACAAACCTGTTACCAATTTAACGTCCCGGGAGGGGGGAAGATCCTTGGCTGGCCACGGTTGGGGATAACCCGGGATTTGATTCCCGGACCGTGCGCGCAGCAGGCATACCACCACTTGCCACTACACCACTTCCGCCTCATTACTCGAATACAGTCTCTAACAGCTCTTGTAAGGGGAAGAAGCATCCAGTTCCCGAAAGTCCATCACGTAAACGTAAGTAAATACTTTTATATATCCGTCTATTTTCCGATACAAGCTCCTTAAGATTCAACTGTCCAATGTACTTGGAGGATATCATTCTGACAATTTGTTTTTCTCCTCGGCCAATAAATGAGTGATAGAGCACTCTCAACAGAACAAACACTACCGAGAATGTACAAATCGCAAAATACCGGTAAACTTCAAGAAAAAAAGGTCAGTAAAGGAACAGACATGTGAAAAATGTTCAGCTTGAGTAGGAACGAATGCTCAAGCTGACAGGTTACCGTTACAAGAGGAAATACAAGAGGAAATACACAAAATAAATACTCGTAAGAATATCAGGTGGTGTAGAATTTCAAAATTAAGTACCTACTAACGAATCAATTGAGAGACATTTGACAAGAATATGTTGATGCACATACTAGAGTACAGCATAGGAATAACGACAACTGGAAACGCCGCATAGCTGGAGAACGACTAGGACTGGAAAGACTTTCTTGGGGAATCCAAACCAAATGACTGCATCACTGCAATGGGAGGCATTACTCGCACTCCCATGGCTGACAACGCCGTCCCAATGGAGGATCCAGGTGACATATCTGGCAAAAAATGGATTTCAATACATGAATTAGTGAGGACCAGTAGTCAAATGAATACCAAGTAAAGCTTACTTGACATATAAATGAGAACCGTCGACGGGTAGTAATTTTTTCGCAGTCCAGTGAAGCAGTTAATGATCTGCAATGGGGACACTTATTTTTGGAATTTGCCCCTACAAAACTCCCTCGTCTTACATGTGCTGTACAAACGTCGCTATCGTCACACAAATGTCGTTCCATGAAATGCACTATGCCCAGATTCTTGTACTTTAGTATTACCGAATGATACATTTGAAAGGCGTGGCCCATTTCTGAGCCAGCGAGCGATTGCCTGAAAGGTTATTTGAAACAGAACCTGTATTATACAAAAACTGATGACCATGGAATCCGTGTGATTCACTGAGCATGTCAAAATGGATAGACTGTACGTGAGCAGTGGGTAACTTCGGGTAGAAAATTTATAGGTCCTGAGTCGGGAATGTGCAGATTGCGTGTAGAAAATGGGTACTTTTCACAAAGGAAATGGCTAAATGTGGGTAGGAAATGGGTCTGGCAAAACTGCCCAGTGAGCGTGGCACCAATTCAAATGTCTGCTTACGCTATCAGAAGAAGAAAAGAAGGATGACGCAGTGCAAACTATTCTAATATACGCTCCCGAACAGCGTGCGATGCACTAGTGGCCGTGCAGATATAGCTGCTCTAATTCAATTACCCATATTGAAAGGCAGTTGGCACGATGGTTTCCTACTTAGCCTAAAATGCTAGTAGGGCGCTGTATAGTGGGGAAATGGCGAAAGAACGGAGTGAAACGGTCAAAATCCTGCGAAGAAAAAGCCTCCGTTCTCAGTGACTTGTAAATCGATTTCGGACGAGTTTCCCGTAGGCATCTTACCAATCACCGCTACCGAAGATACGGCTGCATATTTGTACCCATGTATGCATGCAGCATCCCGGCGCTTCATACCATCGCCTTCGCCTTCATAAACTCTTAGCAATGAATGAATACATGCGGTCAGGAACGGTAGTCCATTGTGGCGGCGGCGTGGAGGCCGTTTGGACGTGAGTTGTTGTGGCTTTATAGGGCCCTTATAAAGGCACCTTCCTCGGGGAAACCGCTATGCAGCGCCTGCCCAGGGTCGCGGAATTCTATCCTGCCAGGAGTATTGATCCTAGTCGTCTTGTGTTATTCATCGGCCAACTGCCTTTAAACAAGCTTTTACTCGACCGGGATCGTTAATGACACCCGTCTGGGAGACTAAACCACTTATGTGAACATCGTCTGAACCACTGCCCAGCTGAATATCGCCGTTGAAGAGGGATTATTCAATTTTTTAATCTATAGGAGCAGGAGTTTTCAAGCACTGTGTTCTTGGGCCTTCATATTGCTGGATTTCGTGGTATGCCGAGCGAATGGCTCAACCTTCAGTTTGAAAGTGGGTATTATGTCTGCTAGCGCTTTTTTTTGTTTTGTATACGCGCGAATTTAAGCAGAATCGGTGCTGGGCCTTTGATTACTACCCCCATTGGTAAGTCTCCTACGGTGAGTCTCAATTCACATTATTCCTGAAATTTTAATGACCTTCCAATCAACACTATTTCAAGCTGGGAGAACTATAGCAATGAATTTTAGCTGCTTCGCTCGATTCACTGTAAAGAACGAGACAAATCACGTGGGAAGTGAAGAAGTACCGGTCCCTCACTCTGTGAGTAGGTGTCAGGAACCACCAAAGATAAGCCTTTTTGCGTCACATGGATGGGCAGGAAGCGAGTCACAAGTTTATTGCATAGGCGCATGCCGGTCTACGTCGCTGGTGGCGTTCTGGCAAGGAGAGTTCGTGATTAATTGCGATTAAATGGGATACAAATGGGATATAAAATAAGGAATTTCTCGGTGTGGGTTAGCCCCTTCCTGTACAGCGGCACGTATTCTACCTAGATCCGAAAGCCGCGAGATTATTCAATATTATTTGAGGTGGTCACCTAGTGTAGAGTCAGTACTTCATCCTACCAGAGGAGTCTCGTATCAATTAGCCGGCCCTGGAAGGAAATACTTGATGGGTTCGGCAGGAAGCGGATCCAGGACTGAGTTACGAGACGTGTGCGGTAAGTGGTCATTTGCTACTGCACCACATCTCCCGATGGGATGGGATAAGACAGGAAATAATAAGGGTTTTAATGATGAAAAAGACGTGGAAAGGGGAAACAGAGAGTCGATAATTTTACGTCAACGAGAGCTCACCCGAAAATCCACTCTGTTCTCGTGGGAGGGGAAGGAGCTTTCTGGTACGTCGTTTCCACGATTTCCTTTGTTTTCACTGATAAGGTTCCTGCTTTTCACAAGACCTCATACCCCTGTTACTCCAATAACGAATGGTCTTTCGATGTAACTATGATCCTGTATGGAACTCGAAAGCGTCACGCAGTTCGGAAAGTGATCGATCTTGGCCAGAAAATCATGCATTAGGCCCCACAATCCAGCATGAAGTTGTGATTACCCGATAATTTGTTTTGCTTTGTTTTTCGAAGCACCTGATTCTATTAGGTTGTCCGGAAAGGAATGCGCGTTGAATTTTTTGAACTTGTCCATTTTTTTTCTCTCCTACTATAGAAGATTTTTGGAGACAGTTTTGTCTATTAGAAAGAGATTTTTATTGTGCTTCTTTTGATATATTTTTGTCCATGTCTACTTTGCTTTTTTTGGGGAAAAAAAGTTGGGAAGAGCGGGTGCCGCACCAGCTGAGCGACGCAAACAAGGCAACACGAGTGGCAATGGCCGGAATTCTTCTTCGTCGCTCCAAGAACAGCGGTTTTTTCGACTCTATTATTACATCAAATGAGAAAAGGGTCTGCTTCGATAACGCAACGAGAAAAGGACAGTGGTTAGACTCCAGTGACCCTCCAAAACGGACTCCGAAACCTGATATACGCGGCAAAAAGGTGATGCTCCGTGTTTGGTGGAATAGCAAAGGTTTGATGTACTTTGAAGTTCCGGAATCGGGTCAGACGGTTACCGGCGGACATCTGCAAACACCAGTTGAACCGCATGGATCCAGCACTGCGTCTTCAAAGTGTCGAAACGACGTCGACAAAATTTATCCACGACAACGCTCATCCACATGTGGCGAAAATCACTCTAGAAAAAAATTGAGGAATTGGGCTGGAAAGTCCTGCCTCATCCGCCACACAGATCAGACCTGGCACCATCGATTACCATCTGTTCCGGTCGATGCAGAACTCCCTGGCCGAGAGAAAATTCACAAACCGCGAAAAAGGTCCAACTCTGGGTGTCCAACTTCTTTGAGTCGCAGCCGGTCGAGTTCTTCAGAAGAGGAATCCATTTTTTGCATAAATGTTGACAACAAGTCATTGATACTAATGGAGATTGTCTTTTGAATTTATCTTGTTTAATTTCGTTTTTATAATAAAAAATTTTTTAAGCTCGAACGCGCATTCCTTTCCGGACAACCTAATAAATCATTTATGATAGGTTCCACGAGTATGGGGAAAAAACCAGTACTGTGCCCCACTATGTCACCGTTCCTAGCTCAAAAAAATTAGGTGGTTCGGAGCATGGATGAGGACTGCTTCCTAGTCCTGCAGGCGCATACTGAGAAGCACCTCTGAATATCCAAATGAACTTGATGCAATTGCGACCTACTTTCAGAGGGCAGTTTCCAAAACGACCAAAACGGCTACAAAGGTTGCTGCTAGCTGTATGCAAGAAACTATGCCAAATTAGCCAACAGAAGAATTTTCCCTCTATCATAGGGCTACCATTCTCCCAACGGCTACAACTGATGAAGTTTTTGAGTCTTCGCAGCGATCAACACGTCCCCTCCAACTCCAGTGCCCTCCTTCCCGATTTCGGACTTCATCCGGGATCATCCAACAAGTGTCGTTTTGAAACTTGGATAAAAGCTTTGACTTTCCCATTACTAAAAACCAGCGTTCAACTTTAATTTTGAGTACTCTCAAAAAACCTTCACAGAGGTAACCCCATTCAAGGCGAGATCACGTTGGTATGTGTTGTTTTTAGACGTCAAAAGGGTTCTGAATGAATAACCAAACCCACCGATGAATAGGGAAAACCAAGATGATAGCAACAGTGCTGTGAAAAAGTGATAGCGGGCCACAATAAATACGGCTGAGTGAGATCGCAACAAGCCCCGTGCGACTCAGAAAATCGCTGGTTACCACTGCCGGTGTGCAAAGCGATGCCGAGACGACTAATACAGTTTATACCACCGCGACCAGTCGGGTCGCAATCAGCGGTTCCCACCTGCGGCCTTCCCACCAGTGGCTGATTCCTTCCTACATCGATCATTGCTCGATCACCATTGGTAGAGCAAGGCAGCCGGACGCGAGCTCGTGCCGCGCTGCGCTCGCCGCCCCCGACAAATTGCAATGTTACAAACTATACAATGCAGCACTACAATGTGATTTGCAAGCATGACTGCGAATTAACTGAGAAGCGTTCAGAACACTTCACGCTGTAGAAGTTGCTTTCGGGCGCCACACATCCAACTTCCATTGCGAATCGTAGCATACTCTCAGTGTTCCGCTCTAATAGTTACTTGCGAGATCCAGCCTACGCCTACATAGTATCTGCTCCTCCTGGATGGCTAGTTTGCTATAACGAGATGTGATCCGCGGATCCCAGCAATGGCGTCACATGAAGGGGCAGGCAGCGTTCGATGGGGATTCCCTATAAGGGGGGGGGGGTCGTATGAGGCCGCCAAAAGGGGGGGTCGTATTTGGGCTGGGAAAAATTTATTTTTATAGTTGATTTTTCTCGCTTTGCGGACGTTTTGGGGGGGGGGGGGGTCGTATTTGCTCATTGTTGGAGGGGGGTGGGTGATTTGGCTCATTGTTGGTGAAGAGTCGGGGCGTATTCTGTCTAGAGTTACGTGTGTTCATTACATGAGTCTTATGAATTTTTCTGCTGTTATAGGTACTATACTGCTGAGTGCTTACTACAGTACCGCCCCCACCTCGACACTTTTGCCGGATATAAACAAACCACAGTCAGCCAATCCTAGGTAGTAAGCATGCGACGGTACATTCGCTACGCAGGCATGAGGGGGGGGGGTCGTACCAGCCCCTGAAAAAAAAGGGGGGGGGGTCGTAAAAGCTCGACCAAAATCCCATCGAATGCTGTGCCCTGTGAAGGGGGAATGACTCTGTACTGAAGAACAGGTAAACAAAAGATAAGTAATTATTCTAACGGAGCCCTCGATTTACATCAAAATCACACTATTGCGTGCGGGTCTTATTCGTAAGCTACACATTTCAAACATCTCAGCCCGAAG